GCTACCTAAGTGGGAGACCCAGAAGCTCCTGGCTCCTATCTTCCGTCTGTTTCAGTGCTGGCCACTGCAGCAATCCGGGGAGTGAATCACCAGATGGAAGATTTCTCTCTGTCTCTCCCTCTAACTCTGACTTTCAAATAAATAAATACATCTTTTTTAAAAAAGGGTAATATAAGAATTCATAGTGAATGTTCCATTCTTGGAGGGCATGTTTCTGTCCCTCTTTCTCTCCCACCTCCTCCTGCCTATCTCTTTCTATCCCCATGAAACAAGGAAGGTCTAATATTCCAGAACTAAAACTGTAAGGAAGAGAGAGATTCATGTTTCCCAGATTCATCAAAGTCTCAAAACACCCACTCTGATAAATCAACCTATCAAGGCCATCTTCTAGTAGTGGCAAATAAGGAAAGAAATGTTCAGATTAAGTTTTTAAAAATATCTAACATTTTTGGCATATATAGAAAGTATGAAATATATGATTACTTACATTCTTGCCACTTACATATCCTTAATGCTCTAACTTATTAAAATCCAAAGGTATCAACTATTTGTTATTGAATATTTAAAGAAAAGGTACTGTTTATAAAACTTCAGGGCCTTCGGCTCACTGACATAGACAGTTTGAAAGACTAATTTTTCAGTTAGTTATTTTGGTGATGTGTAACCCTAATTGTGAACTCAAATTACCATTACACCCTTTAATGAAGAACACACTGCACTAAAAATCTTCAGCAAAAACAATGCACGAATATCTTTTATTTACACAGAAATATCTTTGTTTTACCCAGAGTAGAAAAGTGAAAGTCTGATTTGTTTATTCTATAAATGTTACAATATACTCTTTCCTAATTTATCACATTAATGTATTTAAGAGGCTCGTGTTGAATAAGCATTCTAGAACGCACATGGACTTACATTTAGTGTGATTATAGTTAGCTGTTTTCATTCTCAGATACCTACATCAAATGTTACTTTCTTGATATTTACATCTCTGTCATCTTGAATGCTTTCACAGTATTCAGGAGTTACCTATGCTTTTTGAATTTCCAATTTTCACTTGTACTGAGAATTCCAGGGTACTTCAAGGGGTTCATGGAACAGAGAACGGAAGGGTAAGTTTTGGTGCTGCAAAAAATTTTTGAAATACATTCATGATGTTTTCATAATGTATATTTTCCAGAAACTTTGAGGACACTTCATATGATTTCCAAAATTTTGCACCAAAATAAAATTTATCTTCGATTCTATTTTTCCATGAACTTTTTGAAGTGTTATCATTAACAGCTCCTATCTATTCCAAAGACATCTTGTAAATAAGGAAAATATTTTGTTGTGTAGAGATAAATTAAAGAAATAATGAAGTAATTTATCAGTTCAGCTAAATTTATATTTTTGAGGCACTATTGGTTGAAGTGAAATTGGACTCAAACAGTTTTTAAAGGGCATCTTAGTGTTTTTCATATTTTATTTAGCACTCTTGCTAACATACAGATTCATTCCTCTAGTTATATTATTCTTTCCAATTTCTTCTACATTGAGATTAAAAAATAAATTTACCTTGTGAGACAGATACAATCTAATTCAAAATCTGCTTCATATATACATATTTTCAATGGGCTCAGAAGACCTATGAAAAGTTTAAGGTTTGCCTTCTTCTGGTTATATAAATTTTTCATTAAACCAAGATTCTTCTTTCCCATTGCTTTACAGACTGTAACTAATCCTCAGAATGCGGTCAAGATAATATCTGCAAATGCTACTGTACATGCTGGAAGTAGCTTTTTAAAAGACATATCTTCCTTAATAACCCATGGGCAATCATTCATCCAGACACCCATGAGGCTTTTACATACATTAACTTGACAGACAACCTAAAGCCCTCACTTAGATGGCAGTGTGTGTGTGCATGTGAAATATGTGTGAAATGTGCTCTCGCACACATGGGCTCACTCACTGTACCTTTGTTTATTCCCTTTTAGAAGATCATTGGAAAAAACTGGAAATGTTTTGATGAGAGTTAATTTCTCTGAACACTGTTTCATATTCATAATCATATGCTCTCTACAAAGTCAACACACACACACACATTTTGCCTCAACTGTGGTCTTTAACATCAGTTTGTACTAGTCAGGATTTTTCTAAAGTTAAAATCTCTCAGCTGGTGACTCACTAGGCTAATCCTCTGCCTTGCGGCACCGGCACACCGGGTTCTAGTCCTGGTCAGGGCGCCGGATTCTGTCCCGGTTGCCCCTCTTCCAGGCCAGCTCTCTGCTGTGGCCAGGGAGTGCAGTGGAGGATGGCCCAAGTCCTTGGGCCCTGCACCCCGTGGGAGACCAGGATAGGTACCTGGCTCCTGGCTTCGGATCAGCACGGTGCGCCAGCCACGGCGGCCATTGGAGGGTGAACCAACGGCAAAGGAGGACCTTTCTCTCTATCTCTCTCTCTCACTGTCCACTCTGCCTGTCAAAAAAAAAATCTCTTATTGCTTCGAGAAGTTTGTAAAATATTTCATTTAAAAAAAGAATTTAAACCATATTCCAATTTTGATTAATTTTAGCTTTATGTCCTGGCATATCGATAAATATAAGCTACATGTTTGCTTTCATTTGTTTTTTGATAATCTCAACATGCCCAGATTCTGTATCCATTTATTGTAGAAGTATCTGTGTTGGGGCAGGAAACCAGGGTTTCCTTCTCAGTTCTGGCACTCACGGACTTGTGATATTGCGGTCTTGTTGGTAAAATGGAGTTAACACCATCTCATCTCAGTGTTGTTACAGGATTTCAATACATTGATCAATGGGAAATTTCATTGATAATCTTAAGGCACTGTTACTATTCTTTCTGCATAATGAAGCTCATCTTCTAGCCCTCCTTACTGATACACTTGCCAAGTGTTTGCCAAAGCAACTCTATTAAGGAAAAGTATGATGCGTAATGTGTGAGCACAGGGGAAACATGTAAGTTATATAAAGACTTTTAAGTCCAAGAATCCTTAAATAGGATGACAATGATGTGTCAGATGAGCCATGGTGGAAGCTGTATGTAAATACTACACATCTTGATTTTCCTGTGAATCATTCGACTAAGGAATTCAAATAGATCAATTAATCAGGGCAGAAAGCATAGCAAAAAATAAATTCCAATCGTTGATGCAATACCTCTTTTGCAATTAGCTTATTTTTCTCTCCTCTACCCTCTCAGACATACTCATTTTATTAAAAAATGAAGTCAATTAAGAGATTCTACATAATCAATCAGCCCACGGATGAAGCTGAGATTCTTGTTCTTATTTAGTGTTGACAAGGGCTCAACCTCACATAATTTCTATTAACAACTCAAATATACAGACTGTCTTGTCTGCTTTTCGTCTCCCCAGGAGGACTCTGGTAGTACAGACAGGGCTTACCTAAGGGGGGGTGGGGCATCCACCTCCAGACAAAGGGGGAAAATGAAACTTTCATTTTCTGGATGTCTGCAACCCACACCAGTTGCCAGAGTTGAAATAGATCTAAACTGAGATTATTAACTACAGTTCTCCTTCTTTGCAGCCAACAGGCACAATGACATCACTAACATGATACCTAAGGTTGTGGGGAAGGCAAAAGCCTAAGAGCTTGTGTGCAAGCCTAAAGGATACGTACCCAAGTGGGTTGGATACTCTGCGTGGCTGAATTCCCTTCTCCACAATGTATGTAACACACATGGAGCAATATTCACGTGCAAAAAAAAAAAAAAAAAAACAAGAAAAAAAAAAAAAACCCTCAGAGAACGCCTTATTGTGATTTTCTGAAAAATCCAACCGACCAGCAATCAGAGTTGGATAAACACCACCAGTCCCAGGTTTTCCCATTTCCCGTAGCCAGCTCTGAGTTACTATTTCCCATCATCTTGCTACACGGCTAGGCTGAGCAGCACCGCTGCCTGCCCACGTCTGGGGGTAGATGATGGTGGTTGTGCTTTTTCATCAGACATTGCCAAGGATCATTAGCTCCTGAAACCGTGTGTGTGTGTGTGTGTGTGTGTGTGATGGGGGTGGGGAATGGAATCTGTGGCTTGGAGGGCCTGGGACAGCCAAGAAAGGAGCTGTTTCTGGGTTATCAGGAAAGGGACCAAAGGCAGGTCCAACGTTCACCTCCGTGACTTTAAAAATCTGGCACTGACTCCTAGGAGGAGCTGAAGTCGCCCTTTAAGCTACTCATTTCCTTGCAAAAGCAGCGGTCGACGTCTATGAAAACTCAGGGTTGACGTGCGGCGTCCCTGCCCTGTCTTCCGGAGCACTTTACGTTCAGAGGAAATCACTATAATCACATCTCCGCGTCTTGCCTGCTGCTAAAACGAGGTGCTTTCCTGCCAGAGTTCAGCAGGGATGTGGATCTGCACGGACTCGCTCTTGCACACGGACGCAGTGTACCCCCTCCCCCCCGCCTCTTTTTTCCCCTCCTCCCCTCTCGTAAATTGCTGAACATTTGCTCCAAACTCTCCAAGTCACCCACGTGTTTGTCCTCCCCTTTTGCTGTCCAATTTACTTCCCGACTTCACAAAGAGATACTGGAGCCGTTTGCAGGCTTGGAGCTGCCATCCTGGGACCCAGGCCCCCCCCCCCCCTTAGTCTGATCTGTGCCGCCGACCCCTCCTCACTTCGGGTGACCGGGTGCTTCCCGGGCTCCAGCCCTGGCCAGACCTTCCCGCTTCCTCCTCCTCAGCCCGGAGCACGCTGAATTGGCTGTTGGGTTTCACTTGCCAGGGTGGGATGGAGTGGGTGGGAAGGGCTGGCGGGGGGAACAGACCGCTCTGGAGCGCGCGCGCGCACACATAGCCCCAGTGAACCTCGCCGCACTTTCGGGGCTTCAGACACACCTGAACCGTGTCCGCCCCAGCATGGAGAGAGGCACGCCCCTGCACGCCCTCCCCTAACGGCCAGGCTAGGATCAGACCCAGGGTGCGGGTCGCTGGTGGTCATCAGACCAAGTAGGAGAGCTGCCAAGAGGGGGAGGTGACCCTTGGCCTGAACTGGGGAGGGGGCGCCCTCCACTCACCGCCTGAGTCCCTGGAACGAAGAGGGCCAGGACATCCTGGATTTCTTCAGGCCGGGTCGGTGGCCCGTCTCCACGGCGTAGGAGGTGCGGTCCATGGCGCGGCAGTACAGGTAGCGCTCCGTGTCCGAGTAGCCACGATGCCGGACGCGGCCAGTGGCCCCGCTCGAGGCGTAGCGGCCACGGGCAGCAGTGGTCGGCGGCGGGGGCGGCGGCAAGGGGGGCGGCGGCGGCGGCTGCAGCGGACCCTGGGGCTGGGGCTGGGGCGAGGGCGGCGGCGGCGGGGGCAGGTGGTGATGGGGGTGCAGGAGGCGGAACTGGGGCTGCCGGAGCGGGTACTGGTGGTGCTGCTCGTGCCTCCAGAGATGCTTTGGGGCTTTGAGCGTGGCCCCGCCGGCGCCGTCGCTGCTCTCACCGCTGGCCACCCGGGCCGGCAAGCTGCTGCCCTCCGCCTCCATCCTGGCTCGGGGCTCCGCGCCCTGCTGCCCAGCCTGGGTTCACAGCGCCAGCCGGGAGCGCCTCCCCGATGCTGCTGCTGCTGCCGCCGCCGCCGCCGCCGCGCTGCTACTGAAGCCCACAGAGCCTGGGCTCAGCTTCCACTCGAAGCCACCAGGGGTTCGGGGCTCCGTCACCAGGAGGGATCACGGATGCGACCTGGCTCGTCCTCCGTGGTCTTGGCAGACAAGTGCTCCTGGGCTCCCCGGGTCACCAGGGCTGGGACGCGCGGGTCAGGCGCGCTCTCCTTCCTCCTTTTCTTCTTCCCTTCCTTCCTCTGGGCGCCGGCGGCGAGAGTAGGAATTGTTAGCAGCTGGAGCCGCGGCAGCGCCCGCGGCTGCCGCCTCCTGCGTCCGGGGGCCCCAAACCCTGATCTCAGAGCAGCTGAAAAGTTGGACAGCTCCCGACTGGCGAGCCGGAGCTCTGACTTTCTCCAAATCCACTCCAGCCAGTCAGAAGTCAGACCCGTCCGCCAGGGCCTTCCCCGCCTCGCGCCCGCGCCGCCCTCCCCCACTGCGCCCCACTGCCCCGGAGGCTCGCTCTTCACCTCCACTTGCCTCAGTGCTCTCGGCGAGATGGGGTTTGGTGATTGCTGGCTGGCTCTCAGAGCTCGTTAACGAGCCCCATGCCGGGGCTTCCAAACACAAGGCAAATACCAGGGTTGTGACCTGGCAAAGTTGCCCAGGATGGTGTGTGCGCGCGTCGCTCAAAAACTGGATCTGGGTGAAGATCCAGTATTAAGATGAATGCAGTCTCTTTCCTTAATATAGGACTAAATATTGTGTAGATCTTTTCCCACGGCACAGAGAATTTGCAGGGGTTCTTCATGAAGATCCTGGGCCAGCTAGGATCTGTGTCGGGGGAGCAGTCCTTAATTACAGAGCCATGGCTGAGCTCGCTGGCCACAGCTGAGGCTGGGGCACCTGTCGGTGGCAAGCCTCTGGTCATCTTCAGCGCCTGCCTGTAATTTACCTTCCTGCCACTTCCAGTAGAGCACAGCTCAATTATCAAAGCATTTTAAAACCTCTTGTGCCATTATCATTCCACAGAAATTAGAGTCATATTTGGCACTGAAATCCAAATTCAAGTTTTGTTTGTCTCCTTTCTGTTAATGTTTTCCTGCAATGTCGAATGTCTTTGGGAGCCAACAGAATTTCAGAGTACAACATGGGCACAGATTCTGCTACTCCTTTTTTTGTATATTACTACATTATTCGAACATGAAATGTCAGTTGCTCAATGTTAACATAATTCTAGAATTATTCTTTGTGGCAGTTACAAGAGTACCATCCATTATTTGAAAGATAATATATTTAGGATTCACAAGAGTTTGTTGGCAGTGTAATCATTCTATTCTCTGCACATACTCAGTATTTTCATTGAATATATGTGTTTTATTCATACCACGTAATGAATACTGAAGCACCAGGATCAGGAGCCATGTCTCACACTCTCCAGAGTGCTGAAATCCAGTGCTCTCCACATAGTCAATCTCAGTACAGATGCCATTGGGAAAATAACGTCAGTGTCAACTGATGCTCACTTTGATCGTTGGTAAAGACAGTCCATGAATACACACAAGTGTCCTCTTCTGTAAGTGGCAGCAGTGAAATTAATATCATGCAGAAAACCCCCTGCATCTCTTCATGTAATTTATGCACGTATATTAGGTAGGGGAACTCTGCTCCAATGTGCACAAAATCAGAGGAAGGCCAGGTCTCAAGAGGAACAAGGCAGTTCTCCCAAGCACTGCGACCCCTTTTGTACAATAATACCATACCTGAGAAGGTTGCTCTCACCCCTTTGCAGACACATGTGTGACTAATTGCAGTGGCCAAAGTATTTGCATGCCTGCAATGGCATCAAGGCAGTATCTTCCCAAATGTGTACAGAGAGAAAAGGAAGTGTTATGTAGTATAAACTGCTATTTTCTTTTAATTCATTGCATTATTAACACTTGGAACCATTTCAAAGAAGTATACACATTTTTTTGAAATGGTTTCCACCTTTCCTTGCAATATAACATAGCAAAATATCTATCTGAAACTTCTACGCTAACTTCTGAAATACTAACGGTGCAAGTCATTTATTTTATTTATTTGAGAGAGAGAAGAGAGAGAGAGAGAGAGAGAGCTGGTTCATTGCCTAGATGCCAGCAGTACCCAGGGCTGTGTGAGACAGAAGCTAGCAGGTTGGAGCTCACTACTCAGTTATCTCATTTGGGTGACAGGGACTCAGCTACTTGAACAGTCATCTGCTGCCTCCCAGCGTGCCCATCAGTAGGAAGCTGGCAATAGACTTGAACAAGGCACTCCTGGGCACTGTGATGCAGGTACCTGGGCAATGTCTTAACCACCAGGCAAAATGCCCAGCCTTAAATTTATGATTCTCTTTGCAGATTAAACAGAATAATTCAAATCTAACCTGCTTATCATTGTCTGTTTGCCCCTTCCTTTTAATTCATGAACACTTTCTTTTGACTGTATTCCCTAGTAAATTTTAAAAAGTGGTTTTTATTGTAGAAGTAGAAGTCAAGGACATTTTAAGCTATAAGAAAATCATTTCACATGTTACTAATTTGTAGAGTTTTCAATTTTTTTATAATTGCAAAAGATTATTGATAGTAGTAGTTTATTGTGTAGCCTTTGAGGCACGGGTTCCAGCGTGCCACTTCGTAGTCACATGATCTTAAATTGTTTACCCTCTCCATCACTTCTATGCAAAATAATGTCTTTATTACCCACCACACATAATCTTGCAGTTGTTTAATGAGATAATACTTAGCACAATGACTTCTATGCAATAAATACTTGATAAAAGGTAGTGATTTTGATGATTCCTGCCAGACTTGAAGGCATCCTGAGTATTATTTTAATCAGTCATCACCAACCTTGGCTGCATTTAGGGAGCATCACATGGGGAGCTTTAAAAATGAATCACCTTGGTGTGTGTGGGGGATTCCCTAAAGCAGACAAGGGCCTTTACTAAGCCTTCCAGGTGATTCTGAGTTGCAGGGGAGGTTGGAAACCAGTGCCCTGCCTGCACAAATGAAGCCAGCATTTCTAGCCGAGGAGCCAGATAGCAGCATTTAAGAGAGGCCCAGGTGACTTCATATATCTATAACTACTACTCTAATGATATTGCCACATGCATGGTTGCAAAAACACACTATGTGCTGTTAGTTGATTTGCCCATATATATCAAAGGCACTACCAGCTTAACAGCTCATTTCTCATGAAACTAAGTACTTTATTACTTCAGCTATATGTTAAGAGAAAATCTTAAGGGTATTAAAAGTTGAGTATTCCCAGCCTTCAATTTAAAAACTCTTTACTCATCTATGGATTTGGTGCTTATAATTAAAACAACAAAACATGTAAGCTTTTCAATTGGCCCATTTGTTTTTCCTGTTTATAGGATAAAAAATACCCATTTTCTCCACTTTTTACCCATAGATATTGGAGTTTTGTGGCACAGTCCAAGAGGGTCTTTGTGAGTTTCTGGGTTACTTTTGGACATTCCTGAAAGCTATCAGCACTTACCATCAGCACATCAGTATAAAAAGTGAAAAATCAGGTAAGTGTCTTTTTCCTAAATACAAAGTTAGTTGGTTCCATTACCATAAAATAGAAATTATACACCACCATCCTTTTTTTGCCAGTGCATTTCAATTCTACCCTAACAATACAATCAATCACTCATATCCTGCCAGGCAATTAACAAGAGCGAACATTCCTATCAATAATGATGGAGATCCAACAGCAGTGATGTCAATTAAAAGCTAGCGGAGAGCAAGCACCATTTTTACCCAGAACACAGAATTAAATGGTAAACTTTAATAAGGGTTCTTTTTGATCTTGGCAATGAAATATTTAACCATACTTTTATTTTGTGCATATCCTATGTCTACTTTAATACACATGTTTTATTTGTTGAGCTGCATCAGTCTGATGTCAGTAAGCTTAAAACTGGACATTTTCATCAGCAGTTGCACAAATCCAAATTGCTGTGTAGTTAGGAACATCCAAAGGTACATTGAGAGTCTGAGATTTCACACAGGTTTGCAATCTTCAGTCAAAATCGGTTTAAGGGTGTTTCCTTGAGATATAGGAAGGGCACTTGTAGGGAGCAACTGGGAGCAACTCGGACTAGACTGTTACTGGAATTAAGACTTATTCTATGCATCTGCTCTCCCACAATATGGCGCTGGGAGAGGAGGAAACAGCTTCTACACAGCTGCCTCCAGTTCAACCAATAAACAGCAGGACCTGCTCCTGATTGGAGGAGGGCAGTGTACTCGGCGTGTGGGTAGCAGAGTTGGGATTGGTGGAAGAGGACTATAAATGAGGAGAGAGACAACATGCACAAGGAACATCTATCTGAAGGAACACCTGTGCAGTCCCCAAGAGAGCTGGCCGGCGGTGTGCCGCTCCCCCGCGGAAGTGGGGAAAGTGGCAGGGGGAACCGCCCTTCCACAGAGGTGGAGGGACGGTAGCCAAGCCGGGAAGAACCAGCAGCAAACCCGGGGAGGGCAGAGCAGACAAAAGAACAGCGCAGGGTCTTGTGTTGTTCCTCCACGAAGACGGGGAGCGACATAATGGTGCCGTGACTCGGATATGAAGCCTAGGCAGGGTTTAGTGTCATTCCTCCATGAAGAGGGGGAGTGACATAATGGTGCCGTGACTCGGATATGAAGCCTAGGCAGGGTTTAGTGTCGCTCCTCCACGAAGATGGGGAGCGACAGGCACTTAAACTTGTAAAAATCTCTATATATAATAGATAGCATTGTCAATACTACAACTAGCAAAAAATACCAGTATTAAAGTCTTTACCCCATGGTTTCCAACATATTAAGTCATTTCTAATGATTTTTTCCCTAATATGACTTAAGTGATATGCAATCAATATTAAACTAAGTAATGTTGCATTTGAGCACCCTGGTGTCTTTGACTAGCAGACTAGCAGCATTGTAATCTCAAACTGATGGGTAGCTCACTATCACCAGAAATCAATTTTGCAACTTTATAATAACTCAACTCTGCTTGCCAATTCAAGTTAAAAAAATATCACTTTATGTAATACATGCCAATTTTCCATGCAGATTTTGGTATTTTATCCATGAATACACACTAAAAATTGCATTTTCATGGAGCTTTGTGTCTTGTAGAGATAATGAATAAATAAGCACATAATTTGGAAGAGAGAGGGATATGTGTCTGTTGTAGAAACACAGGAAGTACAGAGTACAGGGACATCCAATTCTTTGGGCTCCATGAGTCTTCTTAAAGGAGAGTGGGATCTACGCTGAAGCCAAGAAGTCATGTAAAAGTGGAAATTTCTCACTTACAGGTGTATGAGCATTTGTGGATGGTGTGTGTGTGTGTGTGTGTGTGTGCGTGTGCGCGCATGCGCATGTACAGTAGTAAGGATCAAGGAATAAAGGCATTCTGAGCAGAAACTAGCAAGGCAAGCTTAGAGAGGAGAGAATTTATGGGCACTGGACATTCAGAAAATGGCAACTAATTCTGTATATTGGTGAAAACAGCTAAGGAAGTACACGGAAGCCTGAAGAATCACCTCTGAGTGGTTAACAAAAGAGGCCCCCTTCCAGATGGAGCAGGTTTTAATATTGATGGGTAGGATGGAAAAAGAGAAAAGCAACAATGTGGGAAAGGAAAGTTCATCATGTGTTTTCCCTGAGGGGATAAGGAAGGGAAGGTGAACTATATAAAAGATCTGCCTTAAACCAGACAAATGTCAACATTTCCATGTTAACAGGAAAGAAAGAAGAAAGGATGGCAGTACAATTATCACATTTCTTGAACATTTAACTTTTGGCATCCTGTCAAACACTTTTCACACAGTATTTTACTTAATCCTTGCAACACCATACTTTTTCTTGACATTTGGATGGTTTCAAAATCCTGAGTCAGCAGAGACTGAAGAACTGTGCCAGTCCACTGCAGATATTGAACACAACCTGTGTGACTGTACCTCTATATAGACAACACCTGTCCACCTGATTATCTCAATAGTCATGATTTCATCCAGCTAATATTTACTGACTACTTAATATGCCCAACACTAAATTCTGGAGGAAAAAAGTCAATTATGAAACATTCTGCCTCCCCTGTTCCCATCGGAAGAGGCAAGATCATCACTCAGTAACATTTATAAATATATCATATGGGGCTAAGTGTTATGGAACAAATTTAAGCAAGTCAGAGTGGGATGTTTAGGAATGAAGTTGTAATAAAGTGTCCAAGGAAGGATTTTATGATTAGGGAGAATATGAGCAAAACCCTGAAGTAGGAAACAGGGTGAGTCCATCTTCCAGGCTAAGAGAACAGCAAACGCAGACACTGACAGAGCAGCAAGCCTGTTGTACTTAAGGAACAGGAGAGACCAATGGTCTGGGGTAAAGTGAGGTGGAGACTGCTTGCAAACGAGGACAGGTCAACAAGGGCTGTTGGCAGTGGTAAGCATTTTGAGTCTGTTATTTGTATTCAAATGGATACACACGGTTAGATTTTAAGCTTAATTAAATTTAGACTCCCAATATTCTCTTAAAATGTCTCCTAAAGATTACATTAGAAGTTATTCTGTATGTAGAAAGAGAGTATGGCTAGAAGACATTTACTATAGTGAAGAAAATATTTCTTCCTAGAAGATTACATGTCTATATTTTATTGTAAAGCCACAAGATACTCATAAATACTTAAAGCTCTATAATGTTCCATTATTGAAATGACTATGAAGTCATGGCCCATCAGACAGTAGCATTATGTTTTAAGTGAGTAACAGTTACCAAATCCTTTAGAAGATGTCATAGAGCTTTCAAAGTGACTGGTTGGGGAGCCCTGATTACTCAAATGTTACATGTCTGTTCCAGCTGAATTTTAAAAGAGAATGGCTAACTTCTAGGGGAGTTGATAATTAAATTGAAAAAAGCATGAATCTGCATGCCTTGAAATGTCACTCTCAATCTTAAAGATGCAAAAGGGATTGTAAGGAGTTTATTGCTATGGAATTAGGCCCAACTGCCAAAGACCAAATATAGTTAACATCCTCAGATTCTTAACATTAAGATGATTTAATCTCACACTCTGAGATCTGAAAAGTAACATGTGTGGCACTAGTGAAGCAAAATATATGCATTATTTATTAATTTAGAAAAATATAAATTTAAAATAATATTTCTTAGTTTAAAATCCCTACATTAAATTGAACAGCATATTCTACCTGATGGATTTCTTCAGATGGAAGAATTATGGCAGTAACCCCATTGAAACTCATAGGGGCCATTCCTTATTTAAGGTCAGATACTCATTTAGCGTGAAAGCCTGGACTGAGCTTTGGCCAAGCTACAGGCAAAACCTGAGATCATGCCTGGATGACAAAGGGGAGAAATTAAACCCTCTTGAAAGCAAAATGTCAATGGATGGGTTATTTAATAATATCAGTGGATGAGTGGTTTAATGTTCCAGTTAATATTATTTTAGCTTTCTAATTCTGTATTAAATGACCCATCCAGTGAAATTATTAGAATAACTTTATGCCATTCATTCAAAGGATGATTTTAGAAAGATACAAAAACACATACAGTGAAAGATTGATAAAACTATTTTAATATTTAGAACTTCTATTCATCAAAAGTGATCAGGACAATGAGAGAATAAGTGAAACTAGAAGAAAATATTGTAACATGACATTATCAAGAGACTATTTCAAAATAATTAAACATTCCTCTAAATCAATAAGAAAAAAATAGAAAATTAATCAAAGTAGGAAGGGTCCTCAAAAAAATCATGGAAAGTGCTCACATGAAAAAACTATTCATGGGGGGCCCTGCACTGTGGCATAGTAGGTAAAGCTGCTGCCTGCAGTGCCAATATCACATACAGGTGCCGGTTTGAGTCCTGGCTGCTCCACTTCTGATCCAGCTCTCTGCTATAGCCTGGGAAAGCAGCAGAGGATGGCCCAAGTCCTTGGGCCTCCCCACCTGAATGGGAGACCCAGAAGAAGCTTCTGGCTCCTGGCTCCTGGCTTCAGATTGGCACAGCTCCAGCTGTTGCCACCATTTAGGGAGTGAACCAGCAGATATAAGACCTCCCTCTCTCCCTCTCTCTCTCTCTGCCTCTCTGTAACTCTGCCTTTCAAATAAATAAATAAATCGGTTTTTTAAAAAGTATTCATGGATTGCAAAATTTTTACACCAAAATAAATCTTTTAATTCCATATTCCATGAACTTTTTAAAGTCCCCTGTACATGGAAAGACAGAAGAGGGAAGCAGAACAATGACTAAATATGTGAAAAATTGATTAATTTCCTTAGGAACCAAGGAGATGCAGTAATGATTGCAGTGTGTGGGTATGTGATGTCCATTAGGTCAGCAAAATGTAGGAAGCCGGATGATATTATGTACTGGAAAAGATGTAGATCAGTGGGAACTCATATGCATTGCTGGGGGGAAAGCAATTTATGACCATTTTCTGGTAAAGGTGAACTTTCCCCTAAACTCTGATCCATAATTCTGCACAGAATAGGAAACATCTTACATGCAAACACATGCACACATGTACTCATGGACCAGAGTGTTCATAGCAGGATTGTGTAGTATTAAAACAGGTGGAAACAAACTGAACGTTTACCAAGAAAAAAAAATTAACACAAATGTTACATGACGTTACAAAATACAACTACACAAAACAACTTGGAAGAATCTTAAAAACACAGGGTTGAGGGGCAGGCATTATGGCACAGTGGTTAAGTCCACGTCCCATTATCACAGGGACTAGATTCAAATCCTGCATCTGCTTGTGATCCAGCCTCCTGCTAATGCATTCCATGGAAGGCAGCGGGTGATGGCTCAAGTACTTGAGTCTCTGCTAACCTTGCAGAGACCCAGGTGGAATGTCTGGCTCCTGGCTTAAGGCTGGCACACCCTTGGCTCCTGGGGGCAGTTGGGGAGTGTACCAGCATATGGAACATCTCTCTTTCTCTGTCTGCCTCTCTTTCTCTGTTGCCCTACTTTTCAAACAAATAAATAAATAAAACTTTTTTTCAAACCCACCCTGTTGAGAACAAAGCAAGCAACGAAAGATAACAAACAGTATGCCTTCCTCATAAAGCTCCAAAACAAAAAACATAAGAACAAAACAAAACAATCCCAAGGAAAACAAAATAATATCTTTCAGTGCACTGCTGCTCAACAGGCGTTCTTGTTAAAATGCAAATTCGGACTCAGTAGGTCTGGGGCAGGACTGAAGTTCAGTATTTTTAATAAGCTCCCAGGTGGTGTCAGTGCTGCAGGTCTGTTGATCATACTGAAGAGCTAGGTTTGAGGGTATATATGCGTAAAGGATGTTTTTTAGATATAAAAATGTATATACTTCAAAATAACCAGAAGAGCTTAACGGTTCTTAACACAGAAATTATAAATGTGGCCGGCGCCACGGCTCACTAGGCTAATCCTCCGCCTAGCGGCGCCGGCACACCGGGTTCTAGTCCCAGTTGCCCCTCTTCCAGGCCAGCTCTCTGCTGTGGCCAGGGAGTGCAGTGGAGGATGGCCCAGGTGCTTGGGCCCTGCACCCCATGGGAGACCAGGAAAAGTACCTGGCTCCTGGCTCCTGCCATCGGATCAGCGCGGTGCGCCTGCCGCAGTGCGCCGGCCGCGGCGGCCATTAGAGGGTGAACCAACGGCAAAAGGAAGACCTTTCTCTCTGTCTCTCTCTCTCACTGTCCACTCTGCCTGTCAAAAAATAAATAAATAAAAAATAAATAAAAAAGAAATTATAAATGTGTGAGGTGGTGGAGATACTAACTACTCTGATATGATTACACATTGTATACATCGCTCAAATTTCCATACTGTATTGCATAAATATGTATAAACACTACATGTCAGTAACAACAGGAAAAGTTCCCAGGTCTTGTTGATACTACAGGTCTGTGGATCACACTGACAGGCAAGGTTTTAGAGCATACATATATGTACTTTTTTAATTTATTATTTGAAAGGCAGAGTGACAGAGAGAAGGAGAAACACAGATAGACAGAGACAAATTATCCATCTGCTGGGTCACTCCCCAAATGTCCTTAACAGCAGAGACTAAGAAATGCCAGGAACCTAGAACTCCATCTGGGTGGGTAGCAGTGATCCAAGTACTTGCGCCATCTTCGACTGCCTTCCCAGGTCCGTTAGCAGGAAGTTGACTGGAAGTGGAGTAACCAAGACTCGAATCAGCACTCTGATATGGGAGGGGGGCCACACAAGCTGCTTGACCTACAGCCCTACAACACCCACCCCTGATGTTTCTTTAAAGTGTTTAGAAAGGGAAAGATTATGCAACCCATAACATGGTAGATGGTTGTTTGCTGGTGAGTGGGGAAGGAAAAAATGGTGTATGGGAATGAAGGGGCACAAAGGTGGAAACAATACACTGGCAATTCTGCAGTTCAAAAATTATATGCCCTAGGAGCCAGCATTGTGGCCCAGCAGGTTAAGCCACAGCATGTGACACCAGCATCCCATATGAACACTGATTCTAATCTCTGCTGCTCCATTTGAAATCCAGATTACTGCTAATGGCAGCAGAAACTGCCGCAAGTACTTGAGCCCCTGACACCCATTTGGAGACCCAGATGGAGTTCCAGGCACCTGGCTTCAGTCTGGTTTAGCTCTGGCTGTTACAGCAATTTGAAGAATGAACAAATGGATGGAAGATGCCTCTCTCACTGTCCCTCTCTATCTCTCTGTAACTATGCCTTTCAAATCAATCAATCAATCTTTTTTTTTTAAATTAAGTGCTCTAAAACCTACTTATACATTGCACAGGATCTTTTGCATATATTGAATATTGGCTTTATAATAAAACTGATAAGGACAACAAAGTCCACACAGGGCAGGGGAACCACACTGTTCCCAACAGAACAGAGAAATCTGAGATAGGGAGAAGCAATAAGCAAAGTAGAGTTGAATATCCAGGCTTTAGAAGAGAAAGTTGCAACCCATTTGTGGATACTTTGGGTCTATAAACTCCCCAAATTAAATCTCTGCCCAAATTTTTAAAATTGTGGTTGCATAAAAAATGTAGGGGGTACAAACAGAATTCTGAGCTAAAAATAATTACTAACTTCTTTCCAGTAGAAGTCATCCTTCTCTCAAAGTTTAGCTTTGGGATGAACACTGAATTATGATAAAAGGAGGAGAGTCTGCTCCATCCTTTGTCCATGATTTCCCCATTCTGGTACAAGTTCTGAAATGCCCAATATTAACAGCCCATGCACCCATAGTAAGTTTCTTGCACATAATGTCTAACTACTTGAAGAGACAGAGGTGTAAAATGTAGAGGGCAGGCCCTCTAAATGCCAATGAGGACTAATATTTATTGTTTACAGTGAGCCAGGGATTTTTCTAACAGTTTTTCAAGAACTAATGCATTACTACTCCCATTACGCAGGTAAGGATCCTAGGCATGGACAAAATGGCAACTTGGCCAAGGGCACACAACCAGTAGATGAAGCCAGGGTTCCTTCCGACTGCCCACTCCAGAGCTCATACTCCAGAGTGTCCTGTGCACTTCTCTGCAGTTCCTGTACCTGGTCCACTATGAATACGTCTTGTAACCAAGGACACTGTCAAGTTCCGCATGAATGAAGCAGAATGTTCTATTTAAGAGAAGGAATGTACGTGTCAGGCGGAGCTACTTTGAATTCCTAGAACTTGTGTGTTTTTGTCAAGCTTTGTAACTTTGCTGAGTCTTAGATTCCTTATCTGTAAATCAGTTATTCATGATAACAGTTTGTAAGGATCAAATAACCTATAATTACCAATCTATAATTACTAAATAAATAATCTATAATTACTAAAAGGCATTAGAAATTTAAATCCAGGCCTCTCTTGCCTTTAGATTTGTGCAAAATACTGTTTAACGTACCTAGCAAATATACAAAAAACTGAGACATTTATGTGTTCTCTCTTCCTCCCCCATCATACGGTTATTGTAAGGAAACACAAGGAAAGGCACTCCAGATGCCCAAATTAGAGACCTTTGAGTGACAGGAGACAGATTCCTTCCCACGTGTCAAGATTAGCCCCCCAAGTTTTCACTTATAAGCCTCTAAGGGGTCTGTGAATATTTTAGGTGATTATCCAAGACCACCAAATGCAATTCCTAATGTCACTTTAGCTATTGTTAATTGGAAGATGAAAAAGTCTAACTCATTAAATTGAATGGCTTTTCCTCAAGTGACAGACGTGTTATACTTTCCAGTAGTACCACAATTCTCCCTTAAGTTCTGAAGTAAACAAAGCTGCAAAGAAGCTCTAGGCATTGACAGAAGCTGAGTTTCTTAATCTGTCCTCAAGGAATACACGTTCCTCCCAACAAGGAGGAATTAGGATCAGTACCTGGGGCACCCGACAAACTAACTTGGAGTACAGCCCAGTTCGTCGGTTGCTTTACAAATGTGACATTTTAAAGGACGTAGTACCTTTTTTTTTAACACTGGGAAAAGGTGCTGTTTATTCTGATAGAATTATCCAGCTTCCATATAGCTTGTGAGTAGAATAGAAGAAAATAAAAACTTCAGAACAGGGTGGCAGATGGGGAATATATGGAATGGCATTTGGCACAGTGGCTAAGATGCCACTTGGGCTACCACCACATTGTATTGGAGTGCACGAGTTTTCTGTCCAATTCCAGCTTCCTGCTAATGCTCACCTCAGGAGGCAGTAGGTCATGATGGCTCAAGCGCTTGGATCTCTGCTACCCATGTGGGAGGTCTTGAGGGAGTTCTAGGTTCCTGACTTTGGCTTGGCCCAGTCCTGGATGTTGAGGGCATTTGGGGAGTGAGCCAGTGAGTATGGAAGATCTCTGCCTTCCAAATTAAAAATGAATAAATTAATTAATTAAAAAAGGAAAAAATATAAATTTACATTCAAGACAGGCTGCCCAACATGTTAGCTTTTTAACATGTTTCGCTTGCATACTCTATCTTCTTAGAGACTTGACACAATGGTGCATGATTTTGTCTGTTTTGATCTGCGTAGTTGTGACACAGTATTGGAAGAAGGAGAAGGCAAAGAACCATCATTCTGCTCAGCATGACACTACCATCTGAAAATAAATGGAAGATCCAGTCTAATATTACTAAGGCTGAGTAATTCTTCCCCCTAGCTCCATGCATGGCAAACAGCATATTTTCTTCATGCATAAATAATAGAAATCTCATCTTTTGAACACACTGAATTGTTCTGAATGCTTTGTGGAGAGTGCCAAGTGCAGATCTAGATTTATTTGCAAGTGGCTTCTGTGCAGGTTCAAATATGTGGACTCACTGACCAATTATAAACCACAGATTGGGCTAATTGGCCCACTTCTTCTTTGACGTTGGTCATATAATCCATAAATAATGAATGTATTCAGTCATAAACAGCAGATCCAGTAGTCTCTTTGCAGTTAAATATTAGCTTTTATTTTTAAAAGTATGCCTTTCATCGTGGTTTTTAATGGAATTGGCACAACAGGCAGAAAACCCTGAGTTTTCAGTTCCAGCTTTGACACCTTCCATTGGTCCTAACCAATGACAGGTGGGTTTCATTAGATTCTCTAAGCATCAGTTTTCTCATTGTTGAGGATTATAACAGACCCAGCTTTACAAAGTTATTAATGGACTGAATTACATAAGAGATGTGAAAGACAAGGTTATATAATTAATATACATATAATACATATTATATATACATGTCATATGTATATACACAGTCTACATAATAAATATCCTATGTATATAAATAGAAACATACATTATTTTATTATATATAGTATATAAAGGGATAAAAAAGCTACTTGTATACAACTACCATTTCTTTTTTTTTTTTTTTTTTGCTTTCAAACTTTTATTTAATGAATATAAATTTCCAAAGTACAGCTTATGGATTACAATGGCTTTCCCCCCATAACGTACCTCCCACCCGCAACCCTCCCCTTTCCCACTCCCTCTCCCCTTCCATTCACATCAAGATTCATTTTCGATTCTCTTTATATACAGAAGATCAGTTTAGCATACATTAAGTAAAGATTTCAACAGTTTGCTCCCACACAGAAACATAAAGTGAAAAATACTGTTTGAGTACTAGTTATAGCATTAAATCTCAATGTACAGCACACTAAGGACAAAGATCCTACATGAGGAGTAAGTGCACAGTGACTCCTGTTGTTGACTTAACAAATTGACACTCTTGTTTATGGCCTCAGTAATCACCCTAGGCTCTTGTCATGAGCTGCCAAGGTTATGGAAGCCCCCTGAGTTCACTGACTCTGATCATATTTAGACAAGGCCATGGTCAAAGTGGAAGTTCTCTCCTCCCTTCAGAGAAAGGTACCTCCTTCTTTGATGACCTGTTCTTTCCACTGGGATCTCACTCACAGAGATCTTTCATTTAGTTTTTTTTTTTTTTTTTTTCCCCAGAGTGTCTTGGCTTTCCATGCCTGAAATACTCTCATGGGCTTTTCAGCCAGATCTGCATGCCTTAAGGGCTGATTCTGAGGCCAGAGTGTTGTTTAGGACATCTGCCATTCTATGGGTCTGCTGTGTATCTCACTTCAACTACCATTTCTGATGTGACTCCCTGTCCTGGAGTGCTGGTTAAGTCCCGGCTGCTTCACTTCCTACCCAGCTTCTGACTAACATGTGCCACACAAGATATCAGGTGATGACTCGAGTACTTGGGTCCCTGCCACACATGTGGGAGCTCCTGGATGGAGTTACAGGCTCCTGGCTTTGGCCTGGCCCGGCCTTGGCTATTGCAAGCATTTAGGGCATGAACAGCAGATGGAAGATCTCTCTCTTTGTCTCTCTGCCTTTCAAATAAAAATTTTTAATAAAAAAGCAAAAAAAAATTTCTACAGGTGAGGAAAAGTTATCCTAAGTAACTGCCACAGATTTACATAATTAAAAAATACTTAATTTCAGTTCTAGTCAATATTTTTGCACTTTCAAAGCCTTTTATAGTTCTTTATTGAAGGAATTTACCAGATTTACTACGGAGTCAAATTTCCATTTTCAATCTGGAACCTATTTTTCTAGGAAACTATGGTAGGAAAAGTACTTAATGTCCTAAGGTAGGAGAACAGTTAACCAGTTAGCATTCGGAGCCAGCCTATTAATCCCCAATTGAAATATCATAAATGGCAATCAAGCAGGGGCAAGCAAACTGTGGCTATGGGATCAATCTAGCTTAGCTTCTGTTTTTGTAAAATTTTATGGGAACCCAGTCACAACCATTCATTGGCTAGTTGCCTACTAGAAGTGCTACTTTCATGCTACAATGGCAGAAGTGAGGAGTCGTGACAGAGACTGTACCCCACACACACTAAAGTTGCTAAAGTACTTACTAAATGGATCTTCACAGGAGTGGTTTGCTGACTACTGACGAATAAGCGAGTACAAGATGACAAGTTCTGTGACCAACAAGCCAGCATTCATAATACGCTCTCTAGGAGGATATACTCCCTGTTGAGTTTGGGCAAAATGTGCTTCACGGTGCTGACAGAGGACTTTAGCAGCCTCTGTGTCAGCCTCAGAGGGGCACGAGGGCATAAGAGGCTATGAGAAGTCCAGCGTGGAGTTCTGATTGAGGTGGCTCACCCCAGAGGAAACCTTTCTCCCAGGCTTCCTTGGCTGTCCTGTTTTTCTTTCAACTGAAATGTCTCCAGTATCCTCATTCTTCTGTCTCTATTTGGCTTCCTTCATCTTTTGCAAAGCTCAATGCCTTCCCTCTTTTAAGCCAAACATACTTTAAGAGCACTAGGGATATAATTATTATCTACATTTAACTGAAACTGATCCATACACAGGGCTTTTATTCTTCAAAAAACTTGGATTTCTTTGCCTTTTTCCTTCCATGGATGGAATTAAAGACCATAACTTTGAGAATTTTAAGAAAATAGATCCACGTGAAAGAAATGTTTCTAGGTGCTAATAACCCATATCACACCTCAATTATGAAGATAATCTATGAAAATACTCCTATGTTGTTAATTAGAAGCAAAATAATTTGTTCACTTGTATAAAGGAAGGTATGAAATGAAAGAAAGTAAAAAACTATTTATTTGAAAAGTAGAGTTACAGAGAGGTGTGTGTGTGGGAGAGAGAGAGAGAGAGAGAGAGAGAGAGAGAGAGAGAAAGAGAGAGAATCATTCATACCCGAATGGCTGCAAAACCAGGGCTGGACCAAGCCAAAGCTAGGAGCCAGGAGCTTCTTCAGGGTCTCCCACATGAGTGCAAAGGCCCAACCACTTGGGCCATCTGCTGCTGCTTTCTCAGGCTTATTGGCAGGGAGCTGGATCAGTAGTGCAGCAGCCAACACTTGAACCAGTGCCCGTGTGGGGTGCCACTGCTATAGATGGCAACTTAACCTTCTGCACCACAGCCCCAACCCCAAAAGTCAAAAAATTTTAAAAATGGGATTACTTTTAGAAACATTGCATTTGATTATTGGTGACTGATGAAAACCAGTGGAAATGGCATGACTCAAAATTAACATCAGTCTGATAATTATCCTAATTTGTACTGAAAATTTAATCTTCATAACTTTCACCAGTGACATTCTTGATGGCTTAATGAGGTCAACTAGAACCTAACAGTAACAATTATCTCCATATTTTCTTAAGTGCTCATCCTGAAAGTTACTCTATTCTTCAAAGGAAAAACATCCAAAACTTTATATTTTATCTGCTATGGACTGTAATTCCAGGAACTGTATTTGTATTATTCAGGCCAATAATTGAGGTCCATATTCTGATAAATCTCTAGGAAATGGAAAATATTATTCTAAATTAGAATTATTTCCCCCATTCCAGGATGTAGAACAACTGTAACTACAAAGATGCTCCAATATATTCCCTAGAGTTGGCCTCTTAGCTAAATGAGAAAGATTAAGATAATTGAGAATTCTACATCCACTTTCAAAGACTAATGATAAAAGGAATCCAGGAAACTTAACTGAGAATTAGTTAAATCCATGATGGGGAAAAGAAATCATTAGAATACATCTGAATATAATACAAATTTAATTTTTTTCTGGATTTCTTTTCTATGTACTTGCATTGTCATACTCATCATTTCATACTGTATTTTCTCATTTGTTCACATGTGGGCCTTATCTTTATGTGCACTAATGCTTTAAAATGAATTAATCGACTCACAAATCCAGATATACAAACAAAAAATATCAAATAAGTTGAATTAAGTATACTAATATCAACTTATACTATTTCATCTGATTTCTAGTGTGCAAACATTTCTAAGTCTCATCAACACTTCCTTGGCAGCCATCACTTTCTTTTCATCCCTACTTCCAAAATTATAGTGCAAACCTCACCTCTTCACTCCTGGATTACTAAGACAGTCTCTAATTTAGTATTATTCAAAATATGGTCTGAAGTTCACTTATATCAGACTCACACTGGAACTGGTGAAGATGGAGATTGTGGGCTCTCTGCACTCTTCCCGAATCAGTCTCTGGAGTAAGGCCCGAGAATGTGCCATTTTAACAAGCTCCCTGGGTGAATTCTTGAGCCCATTAAAGTTAAGAACCAATGTTCTGACTGCTTTTTTCCTTTCTCATCTCTCCCTATTTTCAGAAAAGTGTACACATTTCTATCAGCTTAGTCATCCTGACATGCTGTCCTTGTCCTACCTCTTCTCTTCAGAAAACCTTCAATGATTCCCCATTATTCATTCTTACAATAAAGTCTCACTGTCTTAATTTGACAATCAAATTATCGTCTCTTTGGGGTGTTGACACAATATGGCCCAAAATTATTTTTCCAAATTACTAGTCTTGCAAAGATGACAAATTCATTCCTGGTTTTATGCATGCAACCCCATTTTTTAACGTCCCTCATGCCCTACGCCCAAACTGAGAACACCCTCTACTCATTCGATTGTAAACACAAAACAATGCCAACTTTTTCTGTCGTGCCTTCCTCGATCTTCCCTTTTTATGAGCTCATATCCCTTACTGTTCATACTATTCATATGGCATTTTATCACAGACTGCCTGTGCTGCCTCTTGAACTGTCATCTAATTTTTAATATGAGTCTGCACATCTCATTTTTGTATCTCAATTGTGAAGTTCCTGCCGGGAAGAACATTGTGTATCAACTGTGCTTCTAGCATACCTTTGTACGATGAATATTTTTGAAATGACTAAATGAATAAAAGATTGACTACTTCTCCATTGTTTTAACCAATTATTTGGCTGATACGATTGACTGTTTTGGAATTGCACATAATACGTTTCAGCAGATTCTCTTATTTTACGAGCTTATACCCCTCTCATTTTCACATACCAAAGAGCTTTATAACTACATTCATGACT